TCCAGGACCTCGCCTGCCTAAACGATGACAGACATAACACAGCAATTCAGCTAATAATCAACTAATTAAGTCGGTCAACAGATACGCGAAAACTAATTCATGACACTAAATCCATGGTCACAAAAATCAAATGTACTAATGTTATTGAAATCATTGCATCTTTGTTCAAAATGATTACCGGTATCCACCAAAATCCACACTAGTTTTATAAATAATGTCACATTATCGATCTTCGTAATAGTAGTTAATATAATTGTTAATAGCATCTTGGTCGTATATAATATCAATAGTAATGAGCAGACTGTGACTCAAACACAACCTATGAAGCTTACCAACATCAGCTATATTGAGAGTGAAAGGGTCAACTGCATCTGGATTTGGACCAGACCATCGACTTTCATACATTAGAAAGGACGCTATGTTCAGTTTCTCTTCTAAATAATACGTCAGAGTTTGAAAGAATTCAATTGGAACACTTGGAGCAAGGTATGTGATGAATCGGAGGCATCTTTGCGGCGTCACATCTGATGTCATGATGTCATTCATCTTTCAACTTCAAGAGAAATAAACTATAATCATTATTATTATAGATTTATTATTTATATGCAAAAAAATTTATGTTTATTATGTACATGCCATGATGATTTAGTGGACGGACTACAATAATAAAACCAAGACTACAGTCATATGAGCTACGGCAGCCAAGTTTGCACAATATTTCTGCCAGTTCCTCACAGACATGGTATGCAAAGTAAAACTCACAACTATTTTTGATCAGTTACAAAAACATATTACAGAACTAAAAGTGTTACAAACTTACTGTTTAGTATTGGAAGTTTGGTTGCTGCGTATACGTATTGGAAGTCTAGTCGGTGTAATCACGCTACAAATGTATGAATAGAAACAATGATAAATATATTAATATTTTACAAGATTTCACCTTTACAAGGTTTATATAGACATGACATTAGACACAGTCTGAAGGTCAAATACCTGAATATACAGGCTGATATCTATATGGATCATAATACATGCACTTAAGTCCTGTTTTTGTGAACAGTCAATGAATCACCCCCACCTCACGTGTACATGTGTACAAATATCAGTGTTCTTGCTAATATGTAACAATGTTACAGCACACCATGGACACTCATCAGTAACCATGGAAAACAACCTGTGACAAATCGTTTTTTATTTCATGTGTAGAAACATACAAAATTGTTTGATTTTGGTTAACTCTTTCACCACCAGACTTTCTTGCCCAAATCTGTCAGTACTTTTTTTTTTATATTTTTCAATATTTCTGGAAATGAATTCCAATTTTGGAACCAACAGACAAAATGTGAGTCAATTTTCATTTTTCCCCCCAATCTTCTGAAGGAAAGTGCAGACTATAAACGGGACTATTTTGTGAATTTGTGATGAAAAGAGGGAACTGGTGGTGAAATGGTTAAGTTTGTAATAAAGCAATATTTTATTCTATTTCAAACATGCATGTATAATTTCAGGTTAGTATTAAGTTAGTTTGAGTAATAATATAATCTTTTATGAAGTCATATATATATATAATGTTGAACAATGCTGCATCCATTTCAGCATTTCAGATAGTGACATTGTTGTTTCTGTGAGCACCAAGTTGAGGGACAGTGTTTCTAGGGTACCGTAGAGCAAGAAACAACAGACATGCAGAGTTACAACCAGGACTGGTAAAATGAAAATACTTATATTAAAAAACAGGTAATTAATATTTCCGGTATCTGACAGAAGTTAAATTTCTCAACATTGATGACATATGTCGCCCCTCCACTCAAAATGTCAGAAACCATATTTTCATACTTAATTTTGTGGAAAATGCCGGTTACATTTGTGAAGGGTGACAATAGTTTGACTTTGTCGTCTAAAAGCGTTAAGACCACAACACTGTACAGGTCCAGGCAATGAACGTCCGCCAATGTCAAGATCTGTTCTGTTGTTTGGATTCAAGTGCCAATCACATTCCCCATACTCCATAAGTGTTTGCGTGGCAACGTCAGTCGTGTCGCGTGAGTTCAGAGTGACGTGTAGTAGATTTCATGTCGGGTTCACAATCTGTCTAACCGCTGATACACAAATATACTAGAGTACGATGTCGCAACTTGAGCAACCGCTCAATGGCGTGAAATACACCTGAATTGAACCTACCGTTCATCGATACTCACAACGCAAGGATCCCGTGTTTACTGACCTGATTGAGCTGACACATCCGATTCAATCACAACCCCAATTGTTAGAATGAAGTGAACAACAACAAATGATCAGCTGTGACAAATAGAGAGAGCAACGACCTATCAATGCGCACATCCGGGCATTCTTTTAAAACCCTGGCCCACGACGTAGTAAAGGCTACCCAAGCTAGTTTTCAAAACGTGACTATGCTAATCGTTAGACGGGTCGTAGCCATTGCAAATTACATTAATCACGAATATATATCAATCTCCAATAAGATTTAGTAAAAGGGATGGTTTGTTTGTGAATACACGTTGCGCCGAAATCTCGTGGGTGGATAGTAGCAAACGCAGCCAGAGTGAATTATTTAGGAAACCAAAGTAGCCCTTTTTCTGGCATTAACAGGAAGGAGTCGTGAGTTTTAATGTTTATATGTAAAGATGACATTGTTATGTTCAATAAGTATATGCCAAATATCACGATGATTTCTTAGCTGGCTAACAGATGGACTACAGTTAACGGGAATTATGGAAAACGGCAGTATACACAATCATGAAACCGAGACTACGGTCGACTGGGCGGAATTATGTGAACATCATGCCCAAGCTGCGGCAGCTGAATTTGCACGACATTTCCGTCAGTTTCTCACAGACAACCCTGAGTTTGACGAGCCGGATGCCGGTAACAAATTTGCACGTCGGTATGTCGATCATTTTCTGGACCATTTTGAGGTTGAGGCGCACAAGGGTTTCAATGCTTCTGGCGACAGAAGAGGGACTAATCTAAATGGCGGAAGACAGGGCGGTGAGATGGATTTTCACCATTCGCATTTTCAACAGGAAACCACGTCGACCCAAGACCAAAATAATCAATCACATTCTTCACATTCCAAGGCAGAAAAAACAAAAATGCCTGGTTCTTCCAAGACACAACTCACCAAAAAAATGTCTTTCAAAAGTATGCGAGAAACAGTGCGATCGAAATTCCGCAAGCATTCAGAGGACTTAAACCACGGATCAAAACACACGACGCGATCAAAACAAGACATTTTGAAAGAAGGAATAGTCAACCAACTTATTTTCCCAGATCCACAACACGGGAAAAATAAGTGGGAAAAAAGTAAACTGATGCTTGTTAAAACGGACGGAGGACATATGCTGGAATTTTACAGCCCCCCGAAAGTAAGTATCACTATCAAATAGGAAATTAATTGCTGACAGGTGTTTATGTAACCGTATTAATTTTGACTGAATTGTGTGTCAATATTATGATTGCATATCCAATTTGTTCGTTTATAAACGGATTATGAGTTGCCATGGTATCCTATTTTTTTGTTATCGGTATCCAGTATGATTTATTTTTAGTCCTAGTTAAATGGTAAGTAGTAGTAGTAGCCTGTGAAAAAATGTCAAGGAATGCTGTAAATCGAATTCTCGTAAAAGAGCATTGTTGTTGAAACAAAAAATGCACAAGACCAAATGTTAAATTAATCAATGTTAATATTCTGGATGACCTTTGTTAAGGTGAAGAAATGAGAATGTTATTGGTGTACTTTAAATACAGTAAAACGGTTAAATTTCTCTGGAAATTTTTGACGATTTCAAGAATTTATAGCATTAAAGTAGACAAAATTTTGCAAAATTGGGACCCCAGAAAAACTTTTACTTCCACAAAATTTGGTGATTTTCACTGACGAAATTTGCAAAGATTTGTCGCATGGGGGTTTACAGTAACTTTTGAATTCAACTGTTGTATTTCTAATAATGATGTCCAAATTACTGTCCCGTTCTAACCCAGCTTCGCTGACTTCGTAATCTCTACCAAAGTCTATGTGCTCTGTGATCAGACAGAGACGTTTGATAAAAGTTGGTGGAGAAAACTGATAATGATAATCTTTTTTCTTTTTTGTAATTTATTTTGTTTGATGTAGCCAGAAATTGGTTATACATATACTGTGTAATTTAATTGGTGTTTTAGTTTTGGAATTTGTTTTTTGGGAGTTATTTTTCAATGACAATTAAGTTCTTTGAGAGTGTGAAAAGAAAAAAAAACAAAACCTGTTTAACTGTCTTCTATCACTTTTCTTTCATTTGAAAACATGTGAATGAGTTGCAGGAACCACAAAAATAGTACATTCTACAGTATTTACACGTATAAAATGATTTGCAAACCACAACAATAATGTATTCCACAATATTTACACAGGTAGTTTTGGGGAAAAACATTTCATTAAAAGATCCACCCTCCAACTACATTATCAGATATTCAGAGTTTTTAAAAAATATTTCGTTTAAGGTCTTTGAAGTATTAGTTTCTGCATGTGCAGTGGGCGTGTCATGCTCTATGCTGAGAAAGGAAACCTTATAACACTGCCTGGAGGGCAGAACTTGTTTTGATTCCCCTCTTGTTTATAACTTCTCCTTGAAGTACTTTGTACTTTTTGTTACTTAGTCATGGGTGTACACAAATGTGCATTGACACAAATTTATTTTGCTTGTCTATGCTGATAAAACCTTGTTGTTAAATAGTGGCATTATCAAAGCTTAAATGTGAATTTGTCATCAAATATTGGGGTGGGTGTTCAAATATGCCATTCTAGTGGATTGTCAGGAGTTAACATAAAAATTAAAGTGTCCCCCATCCACCACCCAGGAACCCAGGATGAGAAAATCAAAAGTGTTCGCAATATAATATGTAGATCGATTAATTCATTTTTGGTTGGTCATGTGACTTAATTTCATTTCAGTTGAGTGAGTGAATGAGCAATGAACTTTGAAATCATTAATCACCTTTCTAAAGAGAAAGGTGATTTCTGCCTGCTAAGGGATCAAAACAAATTCACCTTTGTTAATTGCTTTGATTTACTGAGTGCAGTGATTTTGTCTTGTCAATGTACACTGACAGTTCTCTGAATTACACAGCAGACTGCATTTGCAAGTACTATTAAATGTTCTTTGAATGACTTTCGCAGTAAAGGTGATTTCTACCACTTAATGGATAGCTTTCTGAAGGCGTTATGTTGGTTAATTAAGATTACTTTTAGATAGACGGTTGAAATATTTAAATTGTACGTCTGTGCTCACTAAATATAGTATTATCCAAACACAACACCTGTTTCATAGAAGTGAATCACTTGCTTTCATATTACTAGTACCAGTAGCTTCCTCCATAGATGTACCACATGGGGTGTATTAGATTTTAAAGGGGCACCTTCTGGTTAAGCCCAATCTCACAACAAATTTACTTTCTGGATTAAAATAACAATGGATAAAAAAAGAAAGATTAACATTGTAAACAACATAAACAATAGTGTCCCATGATTCTTTGGTGCAATCCATGGGATTGAGCGGTTTCCCTTTAAATTGCCTAATAAGCGCAAAGTTTTGTACAAAATAGTTCTGTAATGAAACTCACTGTTGATATTTCTGTGTTTTGCATGACTCGTTACAGTTAGATCAATGCAATGGATTAATAGTTGAGTTCGCAGACATGCAAAGACCACAGTATCTTTGACATTGCAGTATTATAAGATTTGTTTCACCATTCACTGGTCTCATCTGCCCACTGTTCTAACAAGAGGAAGTCATTGGAGAACTGACCCAACAATTTTAGCAATTCACTCTTCCTCACCTTGAAAAGTAACCTTTCAACATATTGTCAAGTATTGATAAAAGATTATACCCTTAACATGGTCACATGCACATATAAAGCAGTTGATTTGTTGGATGCAATAAAAGTGCAGGGCATGCAGCACAATGCATGACATAATTATAGAAAACCCTGAAAAAAAACATGCCATAGTTGTTTAATTTCTGCTATTGCAAAGCCTAAAATCAGGTGTTTTTGATCTTTTGACAAGAATTTTTTCTAAGAAGTACTGTAAAATACTTTATTTTCACTGGAATTAATTTTCGCTGAATTTTAGTGAGTTGAATGTAAAAGATAGGAGAAAAGGTATATTCGCTGTATTTTATTTTCACTGAATCATTCCTTCAGCGAAAATAGCGAAAATTAATTCCAAGCAAAAATAAAGTATTCCACAGTATGTTAGATATTTGAACATAGCAATTTATTAACCAAAGTGTGCAACATCCCTGGCAAAATATTTAGCCCTATTTTTTTTTCATTCAAGATTGCGTATCCCATGTTCAGTCTCAGTTGAATGCCCACCCCCATCTGCTCCAACCCTATTAGAAATTAATTTACAACCTAATTTTTCAGTTACTCTGGATTGAACGTTGCTAGTTGTAATAATCTGTGTATACATGTACATAGTCTAGTCTGCTTTCCAAGTTATTCAGAGGTTTATATTTTATAGTTACTTTCGCATGGATTGCAAGGATAGGCGATATTTCTCTTTACAACTTGTTTATCATCTCTATTTACCAGAGAATGCGGATGTGAAGGGCGGCTAACATAATTTGTCTTTATGTAATTTGTTACGTTGTTTACTGAGAGATTAAATGTCAAATTATTATTAAATTTATTTCATTGCTTTAACCTAAAATAACAATTCATTAGACAAAAGAGAAAGATTGTCATTTTGTATATAATAATTACTCCTAGGCTAGTGCTATAATTATTGAGGATTGTATAGTCAGTTGGATACACTTGGTCATTTTGTAGTACACATGATATATCGTAGCTGAGATATCCAGATGTGTTTTCAAAACGTCAAACCCTCAAAGTATACTGTGTCTGCTCTGGCCCTGATCCCTGTCATAGAATTGCTGTATTTATTTGAGTGATGTCATTTCATCTGGGAACACAGTGTCATGTTCTTATAATTTAAATTTTCTAAAGATATAATTTTATACTGCGTTGTATGCATGCATTACTTATCACTGTTTGCCCTGTCACCCAGACTGTGATGCATGCAATATTCCACAGTGAATGAGTGAGTGAATAAAACTCTATCACATTCTGCAAACAGCATCAACACAGTAGGAGTGCATTATCCAGTTTGTGCTTGTGGGTGGTGCATGTAGTTCCTAGGATGCCATTTATTGTTTTCCTGATGGATTCATTTCATAGTTTTTGACTGTCTCACAATCCCAAAGTATTTCAAGGTCTTTTACAAAATACTCTGACAGCTGAATTAATTACAAAGTATTTATAGCAGTTTGTGTGTCAAAATGACTGTATAGTTAACACCTGTGAGAAGCTGCAATTAGGTAAAAACTATTAAACCTATTAATATTTACTGTATATTTTCATATAATTTTTTTGATAATTTTGAATCATTGGATACTGATGGAAAAAAGTATGCAAATTTATTTTGTAAATGGCGAACATTATAGAATTTGGCACACTAAGATGTTAACACAAATATTACTATTAATACATGTACTGCTTAAATATGTAGGGTGTGGAGCTGTTACCGGTAATTCTAGTTTACACAATAAATAGGAAATTGGTATTCTTTTCTTCTTAGTGCCCCCCCCCCCCCTCCAGAAAATTTTTTTAAGCATGTCTGCTAATTTACATAACACAATGTAATTTGTATATAAAATATGTGCAAAATCTATTGTTTTGTTTTGTTTTGTATTGTCTTCTTGAATAACGAAGCATGGTATTTTCATAGCCAAATCTCAGTGCTTTAAGGACCTACATTGTGTAAGGAAAATACTTCTCATATAAATACATTATATTATACATTAATTCCTTCAAATTAATGGAACATTTGAAATATTTAGGGGCTTGGAAGATTTCCAAAATGATTTGGCTAAAATTAAATTTTGCTTCAGTCAGCCTTCATGAAGTCAGTTGTAAATGCAGCGCCTACAGAAAGCCTCCACAGAGAGCTAAAATGAACAAGAAAAATAACACCTGCAGGCAATGTGTTGAACAAATATCAAATAATAGTAAATGACAAATAAATGATTGTGCATAAGATATTATTTCAGTTTATCAAGGTCATATATATATACATGCTTGCTAACTAGAAATGAGGTTTATTACTATTGGCTCCAGGGTTGTGGATATGACTGGACAAGTAATTTTGCAAAATGTAACCCTAGCTACATATGTATTGTCATTTCATCCAGGGTAGTGAAAATGATTTCTTGGCTTAGCAAGATAACTCGTACTTGATTCAATGGTAGTATATCATGTTGTCCTTTCAGTGATGTTCAGGGAGTTTGTTTTTAATTATATATCCTTAATCTAATGCATATATGTC